ACAAAATTAGCCAGGGTTTTGCAAGGTTGCCTATGGAAAGTTTCATTTACTCTCATCTGTCTTCAGCTCACTGCAGAACAAAAATAGGAAACTTTCTTTTTTTAGGTTTTGAAGATGACTTTGAAACTGCAGTTTAATAAACCACCTGCTGGCTGCAGAGTTCATGTGGGTGTTACCTCAAAGGTCTTTGACATTAAATATTTCCAAAGAACCTGGTATGGAAAGTTTGAGTGTGCAAGGTAGATAAAAATGAAATCTAGACTCAAGGCCCTTTAATGTACGATTTACTCTGAAGTGGCCAAAAAAAAAAAAATTCAAATGAATATATCATAGTCTAGATCTCCCTATGACTTCAGGGAGCTGTAGTCATAATAATACTTCTATGCTTTGAAAACTGTAGCAGTAACAATGAATTTATCTTTATCCAGTGGTAAAACAGGCTTACCCAAGCATAAAGAATGTCTTGCAAGAAATCACAAGAGAAGCCTCTACCCAAAGCCAGCTTTTGTTGGTAAAATGTTTGGACTCTCAGGTTCAAATGAAGGGACCAGAAATTGAAACTAAGGCAGTGCCAACAGAACCAGAAATTTGAATCTGAAATCAGAACAAAACAGATCAAATAAAGAAGCATGGTTCATATGAGATTGACTTGTGGATTGTTTTGGTTTGTGTTATGGACCTACGTGTGCTTATAAAGGTACTTCAAAAATCTTGTGGAAAATGGAATTAAAACATTAAATTTATTTTGGTTCAAAAATACTTTGAAATCCATGCATTATTTTCTCATAACACATTTTTTCTTTTTAAAGTTTTATTTTTTTGTTTGAAAATCAGAGAGACATATTGAAAGAGTTAGAGAGAGACACTTTCCACCTGCTGGTTCACTCTCCAAATAACCATAACAGCCTGGGCTGGGCCAGGTCAAAGCCAGGAGCCTGGAATTCAATTTGGGTCCCTAACCTGGGTGAAAGGGACCCAGGTACTTGCGTCATCACATGCTACCCCTCAGGATTCACATTAACAGGAAACTGGAATCAGAAACAGAGCAGGGACTTGAACCCAGGCAATCAAATATGGGATAAAAGTGTCCCAAGGAGTGTCTTAACTGCTACTCCAAATGCCTGCCACCTTAATATGCATTTTTCATGAAAGCCTTGAAGATCTCTCATATGCATAAATTTAAAAGTCTCATGAAAATAAGCTTAGCTTTTTACTTCATTTCCCATGAACTTTTTGATACACACACTCACACAATGTACATATATTTATATAACACTTTGGTAATGACTTTAAGTTTCAGAAGTATAATTAGAAATAATTCTACATTTCAGGCAAAATTTTAGTCTCTATCAGCTTTTTTTATTTCATGTTAAATGAGCTATACTAATACAATATAGAAATACCTGTATTTATAGATAGTGTACATTAGAGTTGTACTTTGAAAAGATTATCTTGGGGCAGGCATTGTGGCACAGTGAGTTAAGCTGCTGCTTGTGATGCCAGCATCCTGTATCAGAGTGCTGGTTCAAGTCCCAGTCACTCCACTTCTGATCCATCTTTCTGCTAATGTGCCTGGAAAGCAGCAGATGATGGCTCAAGTACTGGGATTCCTGCCTCCCATGTGGAAAACCCAAATGGAGTTCCTGGCTCCTGGCTTCCAGCTGGCCCAGACATGGCTGTTGAGGCCATTTGGGGAGTGAACCAACAGAATCTCTCTCTCCTTGCCTCTCCCTCCCTCTCCCTCCGTTTCCCTCCCTCTTGCTCCCTCTGCCTCCATCTCCTCCTCTCCCACCCCCCACTCTCTCCCTCTCTCTGTCACTCTGCCTTTCAAATAAATAAAATGCATCAACATTTAAAATATGGTTATCTTGTACCTTCTTCATCACCATCCTTTTTGCTAGTAGATAGCGATTAGCTCATTTTACCACTCCTTAGTATGTTATGATTCAGAAACTTGATGTTCTCTCCTATAATTCATTTAGTTATAGAGGACATTAAGCCTTTATGTTGTTTTCTGAGACCAATGTAAGAACTCTAATATACTTAAAAGAAAACTCTGGATCTCAAGTGACTTTCTGGATAATAGTGAGAGTACTAGACATCTAGAAAGCTATCTAAACAGTCTTTTTGTGTCTATAAAGTCAGGTGTTAGCTCATTCCTGGGCTTATACTCCAGTGGAAGGGTTGTGTTGATGGTAGAACCTACTGTAGCTTTCCTTTCTTGGGCAGTGGTCTTGGTTGACTCAAGGAATTTCCTTAACCCTCCTCCACCCACCCTGCCTCAGTGTTTGTGAGTTCACAGTGAGTAGTTGGGAACCACTACCCTGAAGAAATCATGAGTCCTGATTCTTGGTGGGTTAATAAAAGACTTGTTGCAATATTGACAAGATTATATATATATATTTTTTGAGCAAAATTTCAGCCAAGTTCAAGAATCTTCTCCGTGATGCTCAGTAACACAGTACATTGTAGCTCAGGAGGAATGTTTGCTATGTATTGTGTCACTAAAGTAGAGCTTTTGGGTGTTAATCAGGAAAAGCCTTTGAATTAATAGTCCCAGGGCCTAGCTGATGGGAGGTTAAGAGGGCTCCTAGTCCTCAAATATTTTCAACACAATGAAGACCATCTGCCAAAATGGAGCCTCTTGTCACTATAACTAGTCAATATTGATAATATTGAAGTGTTAAAACTTTGAAATAACTTGTCTCTAGATCTATAGCTTCACTTTTAAACAATATGTTTCTTGGGAAATACATTTCTAGTAGAAGACCCTTATACTCCATAAATAGTTTTCCCGAAAAAGGGAGTGAAAAGCTAACAAAATCCCCCTGTATAATTTTTCTGGGCCTACATATTTCCAACAATTTCTGAATTGGTTTCCTCTGCTATGAGTAACTGACAACTTGTGATTTATGGATTTGGAATAATTGAATTTCTTGGCTGTCATACACTTTGTGTAAGAAATATTACATATGTTTCTAGAAGAAAATGACTTAAAGAAGAAAAGAGTGGAAGTGATGCCAAGTTCTAAAATTGTGTTTGGAAACAGTATTCTAACCAAATGGTACTTATGATGCTCCCTCTGTTTCTGAAACATGTTTGCTAAATAATCTTTCAAAATGTAGTTTTGTCTGTAAGGCTTTAAAACGTGCTGTGTTTGAACTAAGACAAAGAATGAAGTGAAAGGCAGCATATTGTAATTCTTACCTTCTCAAACACAAGAAATATGGAATTATTCACTGACACATGGTAATAGGTAGAGTAAATTTGTTCCAGCGTAGGAGTTACACAACCTTTCATTTTGTCTGTCAAACATGGAGTATTTAGTGTTTTAGTGAAACCTTTCTGAACGAAGAATTTTTAACATGCACCCTCTAAAGCACCTTCTCAACTTTATTATGGGTTGACCTGGTACTACTTTTGATAGTTTATGCTACTTTTGTTCCATCTCTGGTTTAACTGGTCTAACAACTTTCAAATTCCATGGGATTTTGACCAATTCTTCACACTTTCTATTTCAATGATAACTGGTTTCCTGTGGAAGAACTTGTACAAGGACTGAGGAGGAATGGACAATCTCTGTGATTTTTAATTAAAATGTTTATGTATCTATGTATTTAGTTACTTAAGAGGGAGACTAGGAGAGGGAAAGGGTGGGGAGTGGGATAGATTGAGAAAGAAATAGAGGAGAGAGAGTGATTCTACCTGCTGTTTTATTCCCCTAAATGCTGGGATCCAGAAACTCAGCCCAAGCACTTCAATATGGAATGCAGATGTCTTAACTGTTATGCCAAACACTTGCCTTGTCTATGTGCTTGGGACCAACACTGTCCAATAGAACTTTTTGAAATGATAGAAATATATAATTGTGGTCCATCTGTGGCTTTTCTGTATTTGGAATGTGACTGGCTTAATGGAGAAACTGAATATTTGATTTTGCCTTAATTGACTTATATTTAAATTTAATAGTCATCTGTGGATAATGGCTACCATTTAGACAATGCATATAAACCTTAGAACAGTGAGTTTATGACCTTGAGGAATTCAGCCCTTTGCCTATGGGTCTCATAAAATTGATTATCCAAGTTTTCCTTGGTGTTTCTACTTTGGACAATACTTCTACTTCTCTCCCAAGAAAACAGGTGGAAACTTGTTCGGAAATTTTTGTGTGTTAGGATGACTGTAGTGTCCACCTGGCACTTAGTGGTTTGGGACAACAGATGGAAAAGAGCCTGAAATGCACAGAACAGTCTGCCCTAAATACCAATGTCAACCACTATGACAAGGTCAGGTAGGCCATCAGAGTTCTCTAAAGATTGTGGTTCCTTGGCCAGTGCCATGGCTCACTAGGCTAATCTTCCACCTGCGGCGGCGCCGGCACTCAGGGTTCTAGTCCCGGTTGGGGCTCTGGATTCTGTCCCAGTTGCTCCTCTTCCAGTCCAGCTCTCTGCTGTCTGCGGGAAGGCAGTGGAGGATGGCCCAAGTGCTTGGGCCCTGCACCTGAGTGGAAGACCAGGATGAAACACCTGGCTCCTGGTTTTGGATCGGCGCAGTGCGCTGGCCATAGCGGCCATTTGGGGAGTAAACCAACAGAAGGAAGACCTTTCTCTCTGTCTCTTTCTCTCACTGTCTAACTCTGCCTGTCAAAAAAAAAAAAAAAAAAAAAGATTTCGGTTTTCCATTCTTGAGTCTCTTGCAATCCTAGGCCTAATCACAGTTAATTCTGTTTCTTATGGTTATGGTCTGTATTGTATTTCCCCTTGCCTCCACAGGACTTCACATTCTGACTGTGGTCACCATTGTTCTGTATCTTCAACGACTCTCACTCAAGTATCTATCACCTTTCCTATCTCAAGTAATATCTTGTCTTAGTTCCATATCCTCCAGCTGTAACTGTTTCTCCCTCCCCATTGACAGTAGCCTGTAGTGCATTTATGCAATTAGCTATTGTGTCAGGGAGCTATTTTTGTGTTACAATAAAAGAAAGCTGACACCATACGTAATTTTGAAGCACACTGTTTTATTATACAGACATATCAGCAGAGTCATTGGTCATGTTCCACTTCTCAACCATTGTATGTGAACATACACACATACACCTACACATACACAAATGTCTCAAAATTTCTGAGTCCACTTTTATCCTTTTATGCTTATAATAACTCCACCTGTTTGTAGTTGGTCTCTAAAACACACCACCACACCAGTTTCACATATTTATTTTAATTTAGTATCACATCACTTTTCCCCCAGGATAGGCTCACAGTAAAACTATAATGTAGTCTCTACAAATTCTAGTTCATAGTTCAACGTATAGTCAAAATTAAATTTTCAAGCACTTGAATAATGTCCTCTTAACTTTTTTTGCTCACAGAATCACAACACATCCCATGTCAGTCACTCCAAACTCAGCCCTGAAAACATTGGGTAGAAGCAGTTACATTTAAAGATATATCTGTACTTGGTTAAACCTACACTATGGAATACTTGAATAATTGTGATGATTGCATCTCTTTTTTACTCTATGTCAAAGCAGTGATATGCCTACTTTTGTCTTTGATGTGTGATTTCCTATTTGTTCAAAAGGCATTAAAACATCTTGCTGATGTATTATTATTCTCTATTATACAAACGTTCCTGCACTGAAATGCCACCGAAAACTAGAAGCATTCATTTATTCCATCAGAATAAACATGCCAAACAACATCCTTGGGTAAGTTAGCAAAATCACATACACACAAAATATCTGCATTGTAGAGCTGAGATTTCCAGTGGCAGAGCTCAAGAAAGCTTGTGGTGTCAAATGGACAGTATGGTGTTGATTCACTATTTTGGGTTGCATATATGGACAACTTCTGTAATTTACGAGATAATAAGGCTATCTAAATGAGTTGGGGGCATCTTCAAAAGCTATACCAGGCCTGCGCCGCGGCTCACTAAGCTAATCCTCCGCCTTGCGGCGCCGGCACACCGGGTTCTAGGCCGGTCGGGGCGCCAGATTCTGTCCTGGTTGCCCCTCTTCCAGGCCAGCTCTCTGCTGTGGCCAGGGAGTGCAGTGGAGGATGGCCCAAGTCCTTGGGCCCTGCACCCCATGGGAGACCAGGAGAAGCACCTGGCTCCTGCCATCGGATCAGTGCAGTGCACCGGCCACAGTGCGCCAGCCGCGGCGGCCATTGGAGGGTGAACCAATGGCAAAATTGAAGACTTTTCTCTGCCTCTCTCTCTCACTGTCCACTCTGCCTGTCAAAAAAAAGAAAACAAACAAACAAAAAAAAACTACACCAAACAACCAGAGTTCAGTTATTTCCATTGAATAGACATAATTTTTAACAAGCAGATTTAAATAGTTTAGATGATCATATTGTGTTAAAATAAAAAGAACTTTATATTTCTATGAACTCAAATTGTTATTTTGTTAAAACAATTAATAAATATATTTTATTTTTAAATTATAACACATTCTTATACTGGGTTTTGACAATTTTAATTTACCTGTGATTTAATAAGTAACTTATAAAAAGTGACTAGAAAATTTTAGGAGAGAATTCAAATTATATAATACAATGAGAGTTATATGTTTAAAAATATTAGATTTCTTTGCCTGTGGTTGAAGGTTGTATTATCATAAGTATTTTCAAAGGCTGGGCTATTTTCTTGCCTATCTAAATTGTCATTTGTTGCTAGTTTTAACATTGTAGTATGGTAGAGAATGATTGAATCTAACCATTTACATGTAAGTCTATCTTCTGATATTCTACAGAAAATTTTTTCAGGTTCTTTAAATATTAATTTTCTCACACATGTTCTGTCTGTATTATTCCATGTTAATTATTACACAAAACAAAACATTTAAATTAAATTATAGCAAGGTTAATTGCAATTTCCTCATGTGCTTTTCTGTATAAATTAATAGGACTGCAAGATGTTTGAAATGTAAATGTCATGAGCAATTATATACCATAGTGTTTTTATTTATAAATATGGAATGTGTAACTGAAAATTATGCTTATACTGAACCATAATAACTGCTGGTATATAAACATCATAATCAATAATCTCTTTATATTTACTGTTCAAGTCACTCAGCTTCATAAATATCAACCATGATGTTATTTACAAACAAAAGCCATAATAAAAATAATAGTGGACAAATGTAGTATAAATTGAATATATGATTTTATGGACAAAAAAGGCCTCGAACAATTGCCTTTCCATCTCTATTGGAATAGAATCCAGATAACAGCCCTGCAAACCATAATGTCTTTTTACTACCTATTTACATTCATGTTTGCTATAAACATATGATGTAAGACTTTCAATATTTACAGGATTTACACACACATATCCACACATACTTTATCCTTAGGCTCATTCATGAACGTGCAGATCCATCTGCACAGTAGGATCAAAATGTGTTAATTTTCCTTAAGTGCTATTCACTTACAACTACTCACTCTTGTGCAAAAATGCAAAAATATCATACAGATTAGAATTCACTCTCTCTTTAAAAAATCTCTTTTTTTATCCTCTAGGAGTTTTTTGTCATTTACAAATAAATTAGGAAATATAGTTCATTCACAAATTGAAAATAATTGCAATGTTTTTATATCAAGGCATTGCTGAGGTTTTGAATTGTGATTTTCTTGAAGCCAGCTGTCTTTCAAAACAAAGACATCAATAAGTTATGGTTACTTCTTGATATTTGTACTTTTCAATTACTCATATGAAATGTCATTACAAAGCTAATATTCATGCGAGTCACATAGTGTTTGTATAGAATATGAATCTTATTTCTGCTTTTTTTAAAACTGAAAACTCTGTAGAACAATCTGGAAAGTCTGTTGAAATTACTGAACTAGGACATTTCAGGAAAATTTTTCATCCCATTAAAAAAAAGGCTGGAGAAATACATGAGGCAAAATTGAGGAAGAATAATTTTAGTGGATACTCAGGAGAGACAAAAGCAAATGCAAGAACTGTTTTAATTTTATCTCCTAGTCCTTTGGTATCTCCTTGCCTCATGAAAGTCCTAAAAAATATTCAGTTCTTTAAAATATTGATTATACTCTTCCATTAAATATCAGTTGTGGTCCTCCATTGCTCATGTTGTCAGTCATTTCCTGTTAGGAAAATAACATGCATTAATTAAAATTTACTTTAACAATAAGACTTTCATTTGGTTAACGGATTTGCAAAACGGAAATTTCAAGCCATTGAAACACTTGCTGAGTTGCGGGGAAGGACAAGGATTGATATTGTTGCTGCATTTTAAGAAGTAAAATTTCATGGCATCTTGGAGCACATGAAAATGCTGAAGTGACAGTCTGTTAGACCAAAGTCTTCACCCTACAGAGAAATCTCATTCTCTCCTCTTTTCCCTCCATTTCCCTGTCCTTTCCTTAATTCTGATCTGGAAGGATCTAACCTGGAAGGAAGAGAGTGGTTAAAAGTCCAAGGCTTTCCAACGCACACTGCTGAGCATATCAGCAAAGGACCAACACATTCTAGGGGTTACCTCTGCTCTATAGAAAGCTGTGTGGCCTTTGCTAAGAACTGAAAAAGGCCCACCAAGAGTTCATTGTTCATCCATAACTCTAGATCACTCCAAAACTCACAGTAGGAAGGATTTTTTTCATGGCATTGTCACTCACTCCTATAGTGAATAGCAAAACAGTGAGATCTCTCTCATGTTTTGAGGGATCAATCACTAAGAAGTTAGGGAAAACTGCATGAGGAGACAATGAAAACATAGATGTAGAGGTTAAATCAACAAAGTTCTATTTGCAATTATAGAAAATATATTGAGAAAAATTGAGATGTTTTGACTTCATATATGTTATTACATGTGCAACCCTTTACTACACAATAAAAGGTGATGAGAAGGAAAGCCCATGGGCTTGCACAATGGTTAGGAGACCACATTATAAACATTTCACTATAATTATCTAACAATAGATTGATAATATCTCTATACACTTGAACAGGCCTATTTGCAAAAAAAAGTAGAAAATTATTTTCTCAGTTATCTCTTCCTATCAATTTATGTCTGGTTTCTATTTGGAGAAACTGAATGTTCATAAACCTGTAGAGCTATACTTGGCGAAGGTAAGTCTGAAGAATATGTTGGGTGAGTTAGGGTTAAGTTTATATTTGAGAAATCTGATTTGAGACTTCCTTCAGAATCTCATTGTTGAAGACAGGAGGAGTAGAAATTGTCACCCCAAAATGATCATCAACAAAATGTACTCAATTGTTTCTCCAGAAGAAAAAAATATAATTTCCTACTGGATTTACAGAAATTAATAAATTTCAAGTGATTTTCTGCTTCTAAAATGACTTTTACCACGGTACTTCACAAACTTCATGGAAAAGTAGAATTAAATGATAATATGCTAATATTTCAAATCTATTTAAAATCGTTAAAAGCTAATGTAATTTACTGGCCTTTTTTTTTTTTTTGCAGGATTTAAAGAAAGCAGTTCTTAAAAATTTTATACCATAAAAGAATTTCTCAACTGAATTCATCCCAACATGGACAAAGTAAAATTACTGAGAGGAAATGACAGCAAACATTAGTTTTTAAATGGATGCATCTCTCAATTTATTTGCAAATAGGTATGCACAAATTAACAAGAATATTATAGTCTATATTTGGGGAGGACCAAGCTTGGCACTTCCATAGTTTCTGCAAGTATACCATGCTATGTTTGTGACTTTCTATATTTCCAATCAGACTATTTAACCAAACTTAGAACCATGAATACTTGCACTAATTTGAAATGTGGGAAATAATTTTTGAATTGTATCATTATCAGATCATTTCCCTTCAGAGTTTTTGCTGGATCAGTGTCAAGCTTTGGCTATTTATGCAACTTCGGCTTAAGAGATACTTTTTTTCTTTATCCAGAAACATCTATTACTAAATGCAAAACTTCGGTCTGTGAATGATGGTATTGAGTCAGAGTCATAATGTAACAGAGAATAAAAAGTCATGAGTCATCCAAGCAGAAATGTGTTTGGATGCTTATAGGCAGGCTGAATATTTTAAATACTCAACCAACTTTCAAGCTGCAAGATTCTGCCATGTAGGTTCATGTCAGCTCCTCAAGGTAGTTTTCATGACAGTGATACTTTGAGGAGCAACATCACAGCATCAGTCCAGGCTGATCTGCTCACATCATGGCTTCCTAGAGGAGGTGGCACTTCCTGCAGCAACATCACAACATGGTAACTCCCTAGAAATCAGCGTACCTTGTAGGTAACTCCGGTGTCGGGGGCACCACCGGGCAGCTGGGCAAGTCGGTAATTTCAATAGCCCTCAATCTCTGATGTAAATATAACAGTCATACAATAAATATTGTACAAAAATATACACACAAAACTAAAGCACACTTGTATAAAAATCGAACATAAATGAACCACTACTCAAATATATAATGATCATCTATTTTAACCCATTTCTTTACATTAGCAACCCTATTACTTGTATAGTGTTAGTTCTTTAAGGGCATGCATAGATATGTTTTAAATTCTTTTTGGGACAACTTAACTGCATTTACTTTTTATATGTATAGATTGCACACAAAATAGATATAGCTTAACTGCAGAGTAATTTTTCCTGTGAAATGACAATATAAAGAAATACACGGCCGGCATCCTGCTCACTTGGCTAATCCTCTGCCTGTGGTGCTGGCACCCCGGGTTCTAGTCCCGGTTGCTCCTCTTCCAGTCCAGCATTCTGCTGTGACCCAGGAGGGCAATGGAAGATGGCCCAAGTGCTTGAGTCCCTGCACTCGCATGAGAGACCAGGAGGAAGTACCCGGCTCCTGGCTTTGGATCGGCACAGAGCCGGCCGTGGCGGCCATTAAGGGAGTGAACCAACGGAAAGAAGACCTTTCACTCTGTCTCTCTCTCACTGTCTATAACTCTCTCTCTGTCTCTCTCACTGTCTAACTGCCTGCCGAGACGTAATAGACAATAAAGGAATACACGATAATTTACTACTCTTTCTTGCACTTTGTGCATTTGCATTTTATTTCTATAATATCAAGCAAAAGATAATGTTGTTATTTTCTTAGTGAGTTTGTTTAACAGATGTTTTATCTTTTACTCAGTTGATTCAGCAGCAGGTACAGAATTAAGAAATATGTGCAAAACATTGACAGAAATATAGAAAACTTTCTATACCATTTGTCTTTTAATGCAATTAATGTAACTTCCTGTTTGAATATGCCTCATGAAATAATTATGCAAGGACCATTTTTTAAAACTAAGGCCATGCTACCCAAATATGCATGGAGTTTAGATGAGAACTAAGTGAACCTTTATATGGATTATAGTATCTGCACTGATAGACAAAGCATTTGGTTGCCTTATTAAAGAGCCCCTTTATACATGAAGATCTAATTTACATAATCAAATGCATCACAAGGGATGAGCTAGAAAAAAGAATTCATATGATTTCTAAAACTGGCATTATTGAGTGGAGACAAATTAGTTATGTGTTTTTCTTCAGTAAAATACATAAAAATCCATATTTATAAGGTTTTCAATATTTTCTGCAATGCTATTTTAGGAACCGTGTTTCTTAAGACAGAAAGACTATAGAACTATGTTGAAAAATGCCCATGAATTGCAGAGAAAGAGCTACTGAAAAATTCCTGGGCATGATCCAATATGGCCAAACTTGAGAACTCTCACTCCTCAAACTATCATCTAAATATGCAACTTGATCCACCTAGGCCTGCAGTCTTCCTCAGATAACAGCAATGAGAGGAAAGACACAAAACTCACTTTCTCAGCCATCTCATGTGAGTGATGGAGGGAATGTTCCCTTTCTGAGAACATCCTCCTCTGCTCGTAGCTCGCAAGTCGGCACGTGAGCCAGGAAGACAGGGTGCAGCCCCCAATCCCAATGCATGCCAGAGACATGGAGGCCAGGTGCAGAGGGTACAGGGAAGAGGTCTTCTTTGTGACTGCCCGAAGGAACTGAAAATTCAGGATGCCCCCGATAAGTCCACAGATACAGCAGGCTGAGAAGAGGATCATCTGATAAGGAGAAGAAAAGGGTGTTAAAGTAGAAGCAGTGAGCACCAGAACCCAAATGTCCTTTACTTCTAACCTGCAATAAAGAAAAGGTGTTTGGGATGCATCCAAGAACACAGGAGCTATTCTTTCAGCTGGGATTTTTTTTTAAATGGCTTTTTTATTTGAAATGGAGTGAGAGAGAAACAAAGAAAGCTTCCCTCCATTGGTTTACTCCTCCCCAAGGCCTGCAACAGCTAGGTTTGGCTTGGGGCCCCAGCCAGAAGAAAGAATTGCAATCCATGTCTCCCCAGTGGAAGGCAGGGACCCGACCACCTGAGCCATTAGCACTTCCTCTCAGGGTCTGCATTAGCAGGAAGCTGGAGTCAAGAGTCAGAGCCAGGAATCAAACCCATGCACTAAGATGTGGGACATAGGCATGTTAACCCCTAAGGCAAATGCCTATCGGTCACCTGCATTTCTGTACAGTTTGACTCATCAAGGGTGTAGACCAAAGTGTTTCAAAAATTGATAGCTGACAGTTTTAAACCTAAGGATGTCTTGTGAAAATTCTGAACATAGTTTGTCTTCTTGGTAAACTCAGATTTAAATAACATTTTTGTAATATCTATTGTGTGCTGCTTTGCTAAGTATCCTTTCAATTAATCATCCCAACAGATCACTGGAAGAAGATAGATAAATAAATAGAGAGAGAGAAAGATTTTGGAAAAATGAATGGTGATCAGGTAGTATTCAAATTTAGGGACTGAATCCAAAATTTTGATGTCAAATTGAGTTTTATTAGGTCAAGTCTATAAAAATATCTATCATTGGCTTCTTCTCATGTTAAATCTTTTTACCTTCATATCTGTGTGAGCTGAGGAAATTTAGTTAAATCTCTTTTAATTTAGTGTTTCATGGTGTGCATATCTCTTTATCCAACAGGACTTCCTGTGAACTGTGCTTGTTTCTCAGGTTATTTTGTTTTTTTGGTTGGTTGATTTTTTTTTTTCACTCATTGGCACCCTGATGAGGTATGAATAATGAATGTTCCCAAAATACCGTTGGATTATTTGCTTTGGAGAAACACAGGCTGTGGCTTTGCTTTTGGTTTTACTATTGGTTTGATCTGTATCTCTGCTCATTGACCTCGATGAGTATCGTAGGCTCTCCAGAAGAACCAAGCACAAATTCCTTCTGTGTAGTAAATGTTCTGTGACTATTTAATAAATTTAATTAAATATGCCAATAATTGTAATAATTTTATTTTGGTTTTGTATCTGGTCATAATTCTATGCGTTTTCATGATCCATAATAGGGTGATACTGACTTAATCATCCAATCTTCCTTCCACTCTTCTCCGCAACACAGTCTTCATCTCAACCACTTTTCTTTACCAACAATGGGGCTCACCTCAGTGGTATACATTTTTGTTTCTTGGAAATAATTGTGTTTCTTCCTTGAAAGAAGGCATCAGTCATGTCCTAACTTTATCACAAACCTTCCTGGACGTTCTTGATCTCCTCTGCAGTAGTTACCCAGAGCAAACCACTTTATAACTTATTTCAGCACTTCATTTCACCTAATCATGTATTATCTGCAGTGGCCAGTTGAGTTTAGCAAGCTCTCATGAGCCTCTCGCGTCTTTTAGGCCCTGGGTGAGTTAGCTGCTGTATTATAAAAAGTGACTGACAATTATTACCCCTGTGTAGACTTCAATCTTGTGAAAGAGAAGATCCTACATTTCAACATGTCTTGGTGAATATTAATAAAGAAGAATGAATGGCTTGCCCAACCCAGGTTTTTAAAGGAGGCTTCATTGAGGATACATCATCTCACCTAATGGCATGCAGCTGCAAGCAGAGTGCTTGGCCATAGATATATGAAATAGCACACCAAAAAGCATTATGGTCAGAAGGAACTATAAGTAGTTCATTTTGTTTCTCCAGTTTAATCCATCATCCTTTACTGTGTCTGTTTCACAGCACTTATATTCCGGACTACAAACTCAATGATGGATGAGGAAAGTCTTTTCATAGTTCACTAAATGTAATACTGAAAATAGACCGCCAAATGATGGGAACATATAGCTCACAATTACAAATAGAACCAACCAGTTCTATTGCACTTTGAAGGATATTCAGATAAGCTGTAGTTTCCTAGATATATATATATTGCTGCTTACTTATTTTCAGAAAATATGGAAATATATTATATTCTAACCCTCAAATAGTGAATTGCTGTTAATTAGCAAAGTAGATGACACATTTAATTTACTATCACAGGAAAAGTCATATTTCTCCTGATGTTATTCTCATTAATTCTTTAAAGACAAGACAGTTCATTAACATGTGTTGACAGAACATTTTCACCTAGAAATTAAAATATTAAAATATGTATCTAAGTGTGTAACCCAGTTTATGTTACTTTCAGATCTCACTGGACTGACAATTGTAGGGTTTAGAGATATTAGAATGGAGAAAGTTTTATAAAATTTGGTTAAAGAGGCCGGCGCCACAGCTCACTAGGCTAATTCTCTGCCTGCGGCGCCGGCACCCTGGGTTCTAGTCCTGGTTGGGGCGCCGGATTCTGTCCCGGCTGCCTATCTTCCAGTCCAGCTCTCTGCTCTCTGCGGGAAGGCAGTGGAGGATGGCCCAAGTGCTTGGGCCCTGCACCTGCATGGGAGACCGGTAGGAAGCACCTGGCTCCTGGCTTCGGATTGGCGCAGCGCACCGGCCGCAGCAGCCATTTTGGGGGTGAACCAATGGAAGGAAGACCTTTCTCTGTCTCTCTCTCACTGTCTAACTCTGCCTGTCAAAAAAAATTTGGTTAAAGAGCAGAGAATTCTTTGATAGAGGGCAGAGGTCAGAGCACCTCTGGTGGTAGGGGTTTCTACAACCTGCTTTATAGAAATCTGTTTCTATAAAGTTCAGATCTTATGAATCTTCTCTTCTATAACTGATAAGAGAATTAGAAAGACAGAAAAGGAACACACATTCCTTTTTAAAAATCACTTCCTGTCTTTTCTGTCCCCCCCTCCTGTCATTGGTACAGGAGGGTGTATGTAGACAGAACGAAGGCCTTATCTAAAGAATGCTGGAAGAATAATAAATACAAAGTGTGAGCATCCAATAAAATTCATTTTCTTCTCCAGTGGTTTTGTTTTCCCCTCATATACTTTTTAAAAATTACATCTCACATATCTAAGGCAGTAAGAACTTTCTCCTTTTTATTGCAACAGATTTTTCTCACAGAGAAAGATGATTAGAAAATAACTGCAGTGCTTCCACCCTCTGCCCAGCCCAGATAACTGGTCTCCCCATGGAAGATGCTCTGTAGACTTCAAAGGCTACTTCCTGAGGCCCTTGGGTGGTATTAATGTATCCAAATTGTAAGGACCTAAGATCTTGCCTGTAATACTCAATAAAATAAACTGTGCTTATTCCTTATTTCCAAACTCTCCTAAAATGACTCAGAAGGCAGTGGGGAATCCACATCTCAGTGCACAGAGTTCTCCCCTAGCCAGTATCAGATTAACTGGGAGCATGTTTCTGAAACCAGAAACCTAGGATAGTGCCACAAAGCAGCTGAAAATACTTAGATGTGTGTTCACAGTTATAAAATAAGATGAAATAAAATAAAATAGAATAAATCTTTGAGAATGCACTATAACCATAGCAACCCAGCTCTCTTGCTGCTTTACAAAAACTAGTTTCACAGGCTTAGAAAGCCAGTTTGCCTGAGACTTAGTTCCTTATTAAACCAGTTAGAGTTCCCACAGACTCAAGCTTTATCTTTTGTAGCTCACTGAGGGGTTCAGGTGATAGCCTGGGAGTCTCTAAACTGGAAAAAGTGGAAGTTGTCACCTGCTGTAGTCATTCAAGTTGCATATGCATGCACTCAAAGTATTTCAAAGCTATTCACATTGTTGGTATTTTGCCATAGTCTCTAATATTCTTGACCATTTTCTCAGAGACAAGAAAACCAGCATTTATGTGTCTGTCTCCTTTTTATGAAAGTTGGCTCATCATCAGTTTAGTTTTTGAATTCTTTTCAAACACTTCAAGGCACAAACAAAACAAAAACTTACGATAAGTCCTGATTTTTTTTTGGCGCACAATATTCCACATATGCCACAAAGAAGAAACTGCAAAGGAAACGAAGAACAGTTACTCAGTTTTCAGACAGGAGAGCCCCTAGATTTGAGCATATTGTTCACTCTGACACTTATTCCAGGGAACTTTGGGAATCGTAAATCCCCAGCCAATGCTGGGAAGGAAAAGACCTCATTCTAGAATAGTAATGGATAAATATACAAATTCTAATCAAAATTTATTTATGTGAGGTTGATGTAAGGAAAACTTGAATCAGTTTTAGCATGAAGCAAAATTGAGCATCAAATGAAAATAAAGTTTCGTTCCTCTTATTTCTGTTCACTGTCTTCTTACCCTTCCCACGTTCTGAGGAAGAAGTTGCATGACACACTCATGCATGCTAAGCTGCTAGGACTCAGGAGAGTGAACCACAGCTGGGGAATTTAGCACAAATAAAAAGAGAAGGCATCAGACGGGGGCTGCGTCTCTATAGACACATTCTTTGTACCTTTCAAATTGCCACAATGGCTACCTCCTCATTCTACCAGAAAGACTGCCCTTGTGTATACTTCCAACACAAAGGGATGAAGTTACTGTTGACTTATCGTTACCTGTAAATAAAGACATGGGTGAAAAAAATTGCCTTACCAAAGAAATTACATCAAATCTTCTACTGATGCCAGACTAATAAACATGTTGGTTACCACAAAATGGCAGATAGTTTAATTTGAATAAGTATTTAGGGCCATTTGATTACAAATATGCATGTGTCAGACTCAAGGTGAACCATAGAAATAAAATAAATTCATTTAGATGTAATAAGCCTACTAGACACTTTCTAGTTTGCAAAGAAAACTTATTTCCTTGGATTTTAACAATTTGCTTTTCAAGTCAAGGAGAGCCATCATAATAATTATGTTGATAGTTTCAACTAGGTATTCTATTCTTATTTAAATTAAAAATATCCATGTTAAAATATTCTAAGGATTATCAGAAATAAAATGCATTTAAGAAGTATTCAAAGAATTTGCTAGATAATAATGGGTAAGGGAAGTTGTTGCGAATGAACTTGCCTATATGACGTAGCAAAATGATTAAGAAGCCATGGTCCAGTAAGACAATTCCCCCAGGAGACAATGGGATATGCAAGACTTCATTATATGATTTAGATAGCCTTTCACATTCATTGGGAAAGGATCAGGATCATCTGTTCATTAAATAGTGGTAGAATATTTTGTCAACCTTCTCTGATATCATATACCAAAATTAATATGAAATACTGAGTATTTAAATGTATAAAAATTTATAACTGCATTAAAATTTATAAGTGCAATTTGGAGCCAACAAAGTTAAATATTTATATAATTTTAGAGGAGTGGGAAGGATTTTCTGAATATAGCACCAAAGCCAGAGACCAAAATAGAAAACACTTATAAATATTAACATAGAAAGTTGCTATTTTGATAGTCAAAGGTGTCCAACTCTCAAAAGTAAAATATTAATTGAGGTTACACTCAAAAACTATGTCATAGACAAAGGTTTAGCATTCTCTATAAAAAGAATTAATGAAGTATTTTTAGTACTATACCATTGTGAGAAGAGAGAAACCCAGAACATTATTAAACCAGAATACTTGCTTAATTGTTAGAAACCTTAAAAGCTATTTCTGAGTGATCATTTCCCTCCACTCTCTGGATCCTTGGTGCAGATGAGCTTGTCCTTGGATGGACTCTTTTTGGCTCATCTCATCTTATATCTGCCAAACTTGTGCACAAGCAACTCCAGTGTGGACCAATTCTGTATCCATCATGGCTTCCAGCTTCGTACCAAAGGCCCAGCCTGTCCTAAAATTTCCCCCAAATAACCCACTAGCTCATTTACCCAGAACTCACTCCTGAAATGATCTGTGAGCAGTGTAGCTTTGTGTTTCTTGGGACTGTGGTTGAAATCCATAAACATTGCCATTATTTATTTACAGTGAAGTTTGAGGGGACCTCAGGAGCATACGCTACTTGGTTGGAACAAAGAGACAGTGAAACTGTCAGGTCTAACTGTCACTCACCATTCACAGGAGATAGCAAATGGAAAAGGGGAGTTCTGAGTCCAGGTGGGGAGATGCAGAGGAAGGGAATAAGGAAAAAAATTTCTACTCTCTTTCCACCCTAGAGTGTAAATGCTCTCAATAGTTAGCTTCTGTTGGAGTATCTGAAATCCACATTCTTTAGAAGATGCCTAGAGGGGCTGGTGTTGGGGGGCAGCAGGTTAAACCACTGCCTGTGATACCAGCATCCTGTATAAGCACAGATTCGAGTCCCAGTTGCTCCATTTCTGCTCCAGCCTTCTGTTTATGTGCCTGGAAACAGAAGCAGAAGATGGCCCACGTACTTGGGATGCTGGCACCCAGATAAAAGACCTGAATGGAGTTCTTGTCTCTTGGTTTCAACCTGATAATCCAGCCCTGGCAGTTGCAGCCATTTGAGGAGTGAACCAGCAGATGGAAGATCTCTCTGTCTCTGCCTCTCTCTCTGTTTTTCTTTCAAATGAATAAGTAAATATTTTTTAAGAAAATACCTAGAACCTGAGGGAAAAATTAAAAATGTATACTTGGAGCTATGTGAAATCATGGATTTTCTGAATAGGATCAAGAGATCTTGGCTCAAGTTTAGTCATCATAGTTTATAAAAAAAGTCCCCTCCCCACCAAAGTAGTAAATTAATTTTTCATTCCATTGGTTATTTTTACTCATTTTTAAAGAAGTATTTATTGATTTGAAGGGGAGAGTGACAAGGAGAGAGAGGGGAAGAAGATGAGGCAGAGACCGTGAGATGAAAGACACAGAGAGGGAGAGAGAGAGAGAGAGAGAGAGAGAGAAAGACTTCCATTCTCTGGTTCACTCCCTAAATGGCCAGGCAAAAGCCAGGGGCCTAGAGCTCCATCTGGGTCTTCCTTTGTGGGTGCCAGGGACCCAAGGACTTGGGGCATCCTCCACTGCTTTCCCAGGCTCATTAATAGGAAGCTGATTTGGAAGCATACTCCAACTAGTGCTCTGATATGGAATGCTGGCATTGCAGGCAGCAGCTTAATCTGCTGTGCCATAACATCAGCCCCTGGTTTTCTTAGTTACTCCAAGTCATTGCACAGGCAGGGATCTGAGAAGATGACTCAATTTAGCCCTTGCAGCTTACACATAGGCTGTGGGGAACTAGAAGTTTAGATAGGTCTAGCGATTGCTGGATACAAGGTCACACATCAAGGTCAGAAGTCACACACATAATTTAAAGCTTTATTAAGTGTCTAAGGGATGTGTTCCTAGCAATGTGATGGAAATGCATTATAAAAGTACTTTTCAGGGTTAGTATAGTGCGGATTACGAAAGCAAATCCAGAAAAGTGCAATGAACACTTACCACCTACAACTGCTCTCTCTACCCTTGCTCACATTAGTTTTTGTTGTAATTTTGTTGTATTTTGTTGTTATTTGTAGTTTTCTTGTATTTCGCAAAATAGCTAGAAAGGTAGTCAATTGTGTTACAGTCTAAATCTGTTTGTTTATTTATTTGAAAGAACTGAGAGAGAGGGAGAGAGGGAGGGAGGTAGCAAGCTTCCATCTACCTGTTCACTCCCCAGATGGCCACAACAGCAGCCAGGAGCTTCTTCTGGGTCTCCCACGTGGGTGCAGGGGCCCAGGTACCTGGACGATCCTCTGCTGCTTTCCCAGGCCATTAGCAGGGAGCTGGATCAGAAGTGGAGACCTGATACTAGAATCAGCACCCATATGGGATGCCAGAGTTTAGGCTACAGCTTAATCTGCTACACCAAAAATTGTTCCCACCACACAATATTTCAACACATGTATACAATGTTAGTTGATCAAATCAACTAACATTTCCATTTTCTATTCTTTTTTTTTGTTTAGATACTGCTACATTTTCTCTTATAGATTTTATATAATATCTAATAATTTTTTATTTGACAGGTAGAGTTATAGACAGTGAGAGAGAGATAGAGAGAAAGGTCTTCCTTCTGTTGGTTCACTCCTCTAATGGCCGCCATGGCCAGTGCTGTGCTGATCCAAAGCCAGGAGCCGGGTAATTCCTCCTGGTCTCTCATGCGGGTGCAGGGACCCAAGCACTTGGGCCATCCTCCGCTGCCTTCCTGGGCCACAGCAGAGAGCTGGACTGGAAGAGGAGCAACCGGGACTAGTACCCAGTGCCCCAACCAGGACTAGAACCCAGGGTGCTGGCGCCACAAGCAGAGGATTAGCCAAGTGAGCCATGGTGCCGGCTAATAGCTAATAAATTTTTGTGAACTGTGCTACAGAACACTAGAAACTATTAGATCTACCTGTATTTTTTTTCTTAAAATTTATTTGTTTATTTGAACAGAGTTACAGAGAGAGACAGATAGAGAGAACTTCCTAGCTACTTCACTCCCCAAATGGCTGCAATGGCCAGGGCTGGGCCAAGCCATAACCAGGAGACAGGAGATTCATCCTGGTCTCCCACGTGGATGACAGGGGCTCAAGCATTAGGGCCATCTTGCACTGCTTTTCCCTGGTCACTAGCAGAGAGCTTCAGCAGAAGAGGGGGACACTAATTGGTACCCATATAGGATGCTGGCAACACAAGAGGTGGCTTTTCCTGCTATGCCACTACACTTGGCCCCTGCAGTCTGAATTCAAATACATCTGAATTTATGATAACATTTCAAAGTATATTTTTTTCCCTGCTTGACATAACTTTGTCAAGTCTGCAAAACACTTACCCACATGATGGAAATTATGAAGCAAGTAAAAAACAAATTAAAAGAAAGTAAAGCTGATGGCTGGTCATTAGACATAGCCTTAATGAGATACACAACTTTACATGAGAAAATACAACTTCATTTCTGAAAAGATGGGCTGTTTAAACCCAGAGAGGGGGATTTGCTTTGCTTTTAATCTGAAGCAATATAAATATAGCAATCCGATGATTGCTAGTTAGTCCTCCAAGTGTGATTCATTTGATTCAGTTTGGGTTAGATTCAATAGACAATCAAAGTAGTGACTCATTGCA